GGCCTCCTGGCCATCTCTCCTGAGAACCGGAGTGGGTGGACAGCCGCAAGAACGCTGCCTCCTATGCTCTCCCCCTGAAGTAGTTTCCATTGCAATTACGAAGGAATTAAATGCTGTTGCAGGAAGATGAGAAGCACAAATCGCTTCAAAAGTTTTCCAAGAATTTCATCTCCGATGCATAAATCAACAATTGTCTCTGCGCCAGAGACATGGCCATTGTTTGATTAAGAAAATCTTTTCCATTTAATCCAAACACAACGAACTGGTTGAGAAGGAGGAGCCAGCTGGAACAATGGGAATTGAATTTTATGCTTTACAAGATTTTATTGCGACTTTTCGACTCGACGCCTCAGCTCGATTCCCAGCCCCCCAATTCTGCAGTTCGTTGTGAAAACGAAAGCGAAAGCGAAAACGAATCGCAGTCCGCCTTTATTAGCAGCAAATTTCATTATTCAAGTCAATTTGCCTCGGAGATGCCTCGAAAACTTGCTCGATAGTGACCCCCCACTTGGCTGGGCTCTTTGCATGGGTTCAATTGAATTAAATGCAATCAATTTGTTGATACGCAGATGAATTTAAACAAATTTAGCCCGAGAGTGTGCGGCGAGCGAGGCCAGCTGGATGACTCAGCCGCTTTGGTGTCCGGAGCCCAGGGTCCCATTTCCCCGGTTAGTCACTCCGGTGGGGCAAACGACACCCAAGTGCCGTCCAAGGCTCTGGACATGCAATCAGAGTCACCCCAACCCGCTTTCTGCTCCGTCGGATCCTCTGGTTAAAAGCACAAAAAAAAAAAACTACGAAGTAAAAGATAGACTAAAAGGGAGTCCTGTGTACAACCTCTAATTATCTCAAGCCATGACATGAAGTCATTTCTCCCATGTATCCTATTAATGCCAGCGCTCACGCTGAAATTGAAACTTCAAATATTTGTACGCGGCTCAAGGACTCGCCGGACTTGTCGGCAGGACTCGGACATGTGTGGGTAATTTCCTTAATAACCGCCAGCCTATCGCATTAACATATCTCGCATTTGTCATAAAAATAAGTCAACCACCGGCACCACCCACCCACCTACGTTTACCTACTCACAAAATGGCCCAGCTGGTCTCCGCGGAGGAGGCGTTTTGTCAAGGAAAACTATACCCCCATTTCAGGTGGGTGGCGGAAGGTGGAATGCGAAGGAAGGAAGTGTTTATGCCTGCTCATGTGCGTCTCCTAATGACTCCGGCTAAATGGACACATTACGCGCCGGACACACGAAAAATTGAATTATTTAAGTAAGTTTCGGAGGCGTCGCATTTCGAGCCAAACGGCGTTGCGTGTCAAAGCTTATACCTTATCCTATAGTAATTCCAAAACTCAACTCCACACCCACTCCTTGAACTTATTTCGAAAACGGGGCTAAGAAAAACGTTACAAAAGCCAGTGGCAGCCGGCCCAGAAAATAAGTTGGAAAAACATACATGGTGTGAGTGCAGCGAGTGCCTTAAAGTTCCACTTGGTGACTTTGAGACGCCGTTTACGCTCTATGCTCATACAGCACACGCCAGACCCAGGACACAGCCCATACCCCCATCGTAGTCACTATAAACCCTGAACCCCAGGGAAATGTAACGGCCGACAATCCACGATCGACGACAGTTGGTTTCCCAGAGCGTCTTCAAGACGTTCGAGGGGGTGACTTATGCGGAAAAGGCACCCGACATCTGCCAGCTGCACGGGTCTACGGATCTACCTCTGATTGCAACGTTAATAATGCACCGACGGAGGGTTACTGCCACGCACCAAAGCGGATGTTTAGGGGGAAATCACTGGGACTTCAGAGTGGGAAGTACTGCTAGAACCTAGAACTTTCATCGCTTGGCGGGACTGTACTCAAATTAGTTTGGAGCGAGTGCAAAAAGCACTTACGATTAAGAGCCGGAGGAGCAGGAGCTGTGGGCGGGGAGAGATGGGGGCAAGTATCATTTGGCTAACGCTTGAAATTGGCTTCGTGACGCTTATCGCGATCAATAAATAATATACGAGCAGCTCTAGACAGAGACGGGTAGCAGCGGATAGATAGATACACGAACGACATCGAGGCGGAAAACAAAAAGTATCTGCCAGATACATTTGAGTAATTTGCGTCGTTAGTGCCGGAAAGAGAGGCAAAATAATAATAATAAAAGAAAGTACGCTTGATTACAATGAAAATGTTTTTAATGCCCAAGCTCCTCTCTCTGCTCCCCCCTATACACCCACACAGAGGCAGAGAAAGATATCTGCATAGATAGGCGAAGCAAAAGGACACACGTTAGGCATGCATTTTCCCCCCATTTTCCTTTCTTTTTTTGATATCAAAAGCGCGATAAGCACTAGACACGAATGTGGGGAAGTGGGTTGGAGTGGGTGGTGGGTGTTGCGTGGCAGTGCAGGTGCAGGCTTGCAGATTGGACAAAAGCCCGTCGTCGGGCGGCAGAAGGAGGTGGAAAAGCCTCAAAGTCGAACGCGACCAGCGACAACGACCACTGTCCAAACAAAAGTCGGAAAATGAGCAGTGGGAGCCGACTTGGCCACATATGGCCATTTTCTGGCCATTTCCATTGCGTGCCTGGTCGGAACACTAGTACGTATCCGTAGCTCGTATCTCGCCGTGCTCGTGTCTATATCCGTAGTATCCCAGGCTGCAATGTACGGCAGTGTGTGCTATCTAATCAAGCGCCGAAAGACAATAAAAGCCAACAACGCAGCCACGACAAACAGCGACCACAAAATGTGCTTATGTCTGAAAACAACAGCAGGACAAGACCATCGAGTTACGTGAAGACCGAAAGGATACCCCGGAGTTCCTGAAGTTATCAGTGAATTACCATAACTTTTGGCAATTATGTATCTTATGATAGAGCCTATTTTGAAATATTTTATGTTTTAGTTTTTAAGAATACAATTACTCAATTTTAATTATAATTTCAATATTTTTTGTTGTGACAAACCCACGTACCCCGTAAAGTACCCCGTTTAACGAAAAAATCACAGAGAATTCCGGGCAACCTACTTCTGAGCGGCTAAGTGCAGCGGGAAAAACTTGCCGGGCACCACTCGAAAGTATCGCACGGATGTCGTATCTATGGACCGCCATATGGCGAGTAAACGACGATATCTGTGAGAGTGTTTCCATGTACGAGTATCTGTATCTTATCTGGCAGTTGGGGTATTAGCCAAGAAGCGTGCACCCCATCCTCCAGCTCAGGGCTCCGAAATCCAGCAGTTGCCATAACAATAACTGAGACTGGGCTGACATCATAATAATTCGAGTTTACTGCATCGCAATCCCGACAGAGAGACCTTTTGGCAAGTTCGGTGGAAAGTTTTCGCATAAAATCCCTGTTTGAGACAGCGACTGGAGAAGGCAGAGAAGGACATTTTCTTTTAGCACAATTCGCATCACAAAGTTGCTGCCAATTCTGGTGGAAACTACTGCCAACAAACTTTGCAGCAACATAATTTTAATGGGTTTGTGGCAGGATTAGCAAGCTAGCAAGCTGCATCTGCATTGCCAATGAATGCCAAAACAAGTTGAAAGGTGTTTCTGAACTTTATTGATGTCGTCGACTTCGGGCGACTTCCGCACCACCCGTTAGGCAAATAGGGAATGCTATCAGGTAAAAATCGGTTCCCGACTGGATGGATGTCAAATGCCACCACCAAGCACGCCCTTCGGTTCCGTCTGCCTGGGCTCGCCACTTTGCCTCCTCGATTCCTTCTGCTTCTGCCCCTGCTCCTCATCCTCGTCCTCCACCTTCACCTCCACCTCCTCCTCCCTCCAGCGATCCGCAGCTTGTGCGCACGCGCATTGAGGCATAGTCGAGCGAGTCCAGGTGTGCTCTGATCACCGTTCGCCGCTCGTGGCTTCAAGTACGTGCCATAAATATAGCCCGCTCACTCGAAAAAAAAACCGAGAAGTTAGAAGTGGCATCTTTATGAGGAACTGTCAACGCCGTTTAAAAAAATCAAAATATTCTATGTAAACACTTTTTAAAACATGAAAAACCCTTATTTTAGACTTCTAAACATACTTAAAACATAATAAAATTAATTGTTGTGAAGACAAGCTTAGTTATTATTCCTTTTAACTGTTCCTGTAACTTTATATTATTATTTAAAACAAAATGAACCCCCCTTTATCCTCAGTGTACCGAATCTCCCCTTGCTCTCAAGCAATAGTTTGCGATCATCAGCTGTTGGCTGTGGCGATCGTTTCCTTCCGCATCCGTATTGGCATAGGGGCTGCAGATTTTGTGCCGGTTTCGCGTTGCTCTTAGTGATTTTCCCCCACCAATTGCCCATTTTTCCTTTTCCAGCGAATCTCAGCGCGCCAGATTGCTTTTTAATCTGGCAGAATGGATCTTTGAAGCGGAATCGTAATGCCTAATTGCCACTAGTTCGTTATTGGGACAGTTTTTTGTTTTAACGGATTTTGGGGTCACTTGACCGTAACACAACACCAAACTACCCCACCCCCTGCAACTCACCCAGTAGGCTCTTTATGAGCCAAAGCATATTTTAATGATGACACCCGACCACGAGAAGGATAGGATGTACGGAACACATGGCCGTGCCACACTTCGGTCGTTGTGCGATGAGTACATTACCGTGTGCCGCGATCTGTGAAGGCACATTCCAAAGCACACTTTGAGATATATGTATGTATGTATATTCATACCCCGACAGTGCCCCTCCATAAAACCCAGGCGCCTCCCTCATTTCCAGCGCATGCAAAGTATCCGAAGCTAGCGTTTTCCATCGGAACATGCACGGAAAATGTGTTAAGGTCGTAATTATCTGCGCTGTCGTTTGTAGGTGGAAGTTCGCCTCAGCTGGCAACTTTCTTTGCTCCTCGTTCTCCTTTCTTCTCCTCGGCCAGCACCATATGGTGGCCCTGCATTTACTCCTTGCGGGGTTGAAGCTAGAAGGAAAGGCCCATTGATAACGCTCCTAGAACGAAGGAAACCCAAGCCAAGGTGCATTGAACTTGGGAATGCCAACTGTCTATTGCAGCAATTGAAAAGTATCTTAGGAAAGCGTTCCTCCAGGAAAGGTGGTTAACATAACGAGACAATTACATAGTTTTCTTCGACTTAAGTATGCGGGCGCGTGGGCTCAATCTACCTATCAGATTGTACAGCAAGGCACAGAGCATGTATCTTGAACTATTTTAATAAGCCTTATAAATTGATTTTTAACTTAAATATTATAAAAGATATGCGACAAAGTACTTTAAAGAGAAGTTAGGTATATCAAATTAGAAAGTACTTAAGTAAGTTTTTTTCCATGTAACTAACGAACTAACTTTATTGCATTTTCTCTTACAGGAGGATCTATGATGGACGACAGAGAAAAATAACGCTTTGTTTGTGGTAAATTTCTGCTATTTCCAATACCTCGATCTGCTGTGCATAGGAATGGCCCTGCCCTCCTCTAGGCCAAGCCCAACTTAATAAGTCCTGCATAGGGGTGGCTGTTTACTGATCCTGTCCCCTTGCCCCTTGCACGTTGCCTCTTTACCCTCTTTGCGTCCGTTCTTGTCCCTCCGGGTTGTCCTTGCAAGCTGCAGACTGGAGGAAGTACAGTTGCCCAAAAAAGGGATCGAAGAACGGAGGGGTGGCATCCGTTGACATTGACTTGGACCTACGGGCTGCATTCCATTGCACTCGCAATTGAAATCGAAGGGCCCGAAAGTCGAAAATGCTGCCTGCCAAAGGGGAGGATTCTGTTTGGTGGTTCTTGGAAAATGCACATGGCCCCTAGACACTGACGACTCGTATACGAGGCGTTTAAGATACACACACTAAGTGTGATCGATAGTCGATGCTTTGACGCATTTGGCGAGTTCCAAAGTCCCCATATTGATTATTTCGAGTGCTTACGCATTCGACCCATGGCCATATGCAAAGTATCTACGTGTCTGTATCTGTATCTGTGGCAGAGAAAAGTAAGTCAAACTTGTTTATCAGCGAAAACGAAGTGACTTATCTTTATTTTGTACAAAAACAGAAAGGGGCGGGTAGACTCACTGACTCACACTCATCCTCACACTCACACTCCCACCCCCACTCACACAAACCCACACACCCACATATACAGATACGGACAGAGAATAAGCTCAAGTGGAGAAATTAGATAAAAACCTGTCTGGGGCGGGAGGGTTGGTGAGTTGTGCTGAATTAAGGACACCACCCGGAGTAACCCACCCGCCACAGGCTCACAGGATCTAACAGCCATCCCCTGGACAGCCCCAAACCGAGCACCAATCAAGTGGCCACCCAAACCAGAAGCTTTTGGCCAGCCACTTTTACTTTCCATTTAAACACTCAGACCCATTTTCCACAGCAGCTATGCCAACTTACGCCTTCCATTAATTTTACAGAAAGATTTTTTGAGCGCAAGCAAGGATTATTAAAACGAAAACCAAGCCAAACCAACTAAATACCCAAAACGACAAAAATCGACAAAAAAAAAAAACGACGAAAAACGAACATAAAATCCTAAAATCCATTCGCAAGTTTTTCGGGCAAAGCATCGAAAACACACTTTTGAGATTCAAAAAATCAAAGCGAAACAAACAAAAACAAACTGGAAAGGAGCAGAAAAGACCTGGAGGACGAGAACGGGTGTAAAACGAAGGGAAATACAAATCACATTTAAATAAAATTAAATGCAAAGGACATTCGCATGTGTGTGGTGGTGGAAAGAAAATTCAAAACAAAATTCACAATTAGAAAACGCAGGAAAAAACGTAGAAAACGCAGACACAAAATCAAGAGTGCCAGCAGCAACCAACTGTCAACAGCGGGAAGAATTTTGAACTGGAACATTTCGACCAAAAAGTTGGGCGACAGCAAAATTTCAACGTTTGGCGCACTACAACACAGCAGCAAACAGCAGCGAGGACATCGCGGCCAGGCAGCCAGGATTGCAGGAGCGAGCGGTTTTGAAAGCGCAGCACACATCGACAAACCCTTCTCACACGGACTTGTACTCACAATCGGACCAGGATACCTTTTGGCTTAGAAAGCGGCCCAAGGAAAAGCCGCTGCCAGAACTCAAGCTTGAAATCACGCATACGCCGCGGCGAACTCACGCTCTCTTTGCCGGAACGAAGGGGAATAGCCAGAGAAAAACCGAACAGCCAATCCGAGGAAGCGGAGAGGGTGCCAGAGGGTTGCTGAGGGGAAAGAAGGCAGCGAAAGCAGGAAAAGCAGGAAAAGCAGGGAAAGCAGGGAAATCATCGAGAGCTGAGAAGCGCGAGGCGAGAGAGCTGCTGCTGCTGGTGGGCATCATCTTATGATGTCATCAGAGGAGTACGAGGCGGACTGTTTTGGTTTGTACAGCGATGAGAACAACGTGCTGCTGAAGGCAACCGAGCCGGAGACAATTTCCGCCAAGCAGCAACATCAGCCGCAGTTACAACAGCAACAGCAGCACCATCAGCAACACCAGCAACCACCGCCGAGCAGCAACGGTCACACGTCACCAATACCCTTACAAGTCAACGGCGACGGCAGCGCGGCGAATTGCGGCGAGAGCGCCAAGACTAATACAAATACAGGCAGCCACAGTCACAGCAACAGCAACAGCAACACCAACACAGACGCAGACAAGGAGCACGAGCGAGAGAAGGCGAAGGAGAAAGCAAACGAAGAGGAGGCCGAGTCCGACGATTCCGACGACGACGTCGTGGTTGTGCTCGAAGGCTGCGAAGGCAACGCCAGCAGCAGCAGCAGCAGCAGCAACAGCAGCAGCAACAGCAACGCCAGCAGCAACAACCAAAAGGCCGCGGCCACGACGACGACGACGGCGACGACGGCGAACCTTTGTAATCGCAGTGGCGGCAGCAGCAGTCGCAGTCATCGCAGCGCCCGCAGTAGTCGGCAAATCAGTCAGTCAGCGGCCGTCGGCAAGACAACAACGTGCGCGGCTAAAAAACCAACAGCAGCAGCACAGGCGCCCACGACAACAGCCAAGAACTCGAACGTTAACTCGCACTCGAACTCGAACGTGAACGTGAATTCGAACGGTAGCGGAAACGGAAACGCGAACAGTAAAGTGAATCGTCGTTCGCGTCAAAGATCCTTGAGCAAAGACATTAACAACCAGCAAGCGAACAGTAATAGCAACAGCAACAGCAATAGCAACAGTAGTAACAACAGCAGCAACAGCAACGGCGGAGCAACGGCAACCGCTGCTGGCTTCATGAGTAGCGCTGCCGCGGCTGCTGCGGGTGCCGCTGGTGGAGGAGCCCTGTTCCAACCACAATCGGTCAGCACGGCCAACAACAGTAGTAGTAACAATAACATAAACAATTCAAGCACACCGGCTACTATTGCCACCCACTCGCCCACGAGCAACTCACCAGTTTCGGGCGCCAGTTCGGCATCGTCCTTGTTGACGGCCGCCTTTGGCAACCTGTTTGGTGGCTCCTCGGCCAAGATGCTGAACGAGCTCTTTGGCCGCCAGATGAAGCAGGCCCAGGACGCAACGAGTGGCCTGCCCCAGAGTTTGGACAACGCCATGCTGGCCGCCGCCATGGAGACGGCCACCAGTGCCGAGCTGCTGATCGGCAGCCTCAATTCCACGTCCAAGTTGCTGCAGCAGCAGCACAACAACAACAGCATTGCTCCCGCGAACAGCACGCCCATGAGCAATGGCACAAACGCATCGATCTCGCCAGGATCGGCCCACAGTTCCACTCACTCCCATCAGGGAGTCTCGCCCAAAGGTAGTCGCAGGGTATCGGCCTGTAGTGATCGCTCCTTGGAGGCGGCAGCTGCTGATGTTGCTGGTGGCTCGCCGCCACGAGCGGCATCGGTTAGCTCGCTTAACGGTGGTGCCAGCAGTGGGGAGCAGCACCAGTCGCAGTTGCAACACGACCTGGTGGCTCATCACATGCTGCGCAATATATTGCAGGGCAAGAAGGAGCTGATGCAACTGGATCAGGAGCTGCGCACCGCCATGCAGCAGCAGCAACAACAGCAGCTGCAGGATAAGGAGCAACTGCACTCCAAGCTCAACAATAATAATAACAACAATATTGCTGCCACCGCCAACAACAATAACAACAACACCATGGAGAGCATCAATCTGATCGACGATTCGGAAATGGCTGACATTAAGATCAAGAGTGAGCCCCAGACGGCTCCGCAGCCACAGCAATCGCCGCACGGAAGCAGCCACAGCAGCCGGAGTGGGAGTGGCAGTGGGAGCCACAGCAGCATGGCCAGCGATGGCAGCCTGCGACGCAAGTCCTCCGACTCCCTGGACAGCCACGGGGCACAGGACGAGGCTCAGGACGATGAAGATGCTGCGCCCAATGGCCAGAGATCCGAGAGCAGGGCTCCGGAGGAGCCACAGCTGCCCACCAAAAAGGAGTCCGTGGACGATATGCTAGACGAGGTGGAGCTCCTGGGCCTGCACTCCCGCGGATCCGATATGGAGAGCCTCGCCTCGCCCAGTCACTCGGACATGATGCTGCTGGACAAGGACGATGTCCTCGACGAGGACGACGACGATGATTGCGTGGAGCAGAAAACATCCGGCAGCGGATGCCTCAAGAAACCCGGCATGGACTTGAAAAGAGCTCGCGTCGAGAACATCGTGTCGGGAATGCGATGCAGTCCATCCTCAGGATTAGTGCAGGCAGGACAACTGCAGGTAAATGGTTGCAAGAAACGCAAGCTCTACCAGCCCCAGCAACACGCCATGGAGCGTTATGTGGCCGCCGCAGCTGGTCTGAATTTCGGCCTAAATCTGCAGAGCATGATGCTCGACCAGGAGGACAGTGAGTCCAATGAGCTGGAGTCCCCGCAAATCCAACAGAAGCGTGTGGAGAAAAATGCCCTCAAGTCCCAGCTGCGATCCATGCAGGAACAACTCGCGGAGATGCAGCAGAAATATGTGCAGCTGTGCTCGCGCATGGAACAGGAATCCGAGTGCCAGGAACTTGACCAGGATCAGGATGTGGAACAAGAACAAGAGCCGGACAATGGCAGCAGTGATCACATCGAGCTATCGCCCTCGCCCACTTTGACCGGAGATGGTGACGTTAGTCCCAACCACAAGGAGGAAACTGGACAGGAACGACCTGGTTCCAGCTCGCCCTCACCATCGCCCCTAAAGCCCAAGACATCGCTGGGCGAGAGCAGCGACTCGGGCGCCAACATGCTGTCCCAGATGATGAGCAAGATGATGTCCGGCAAGATGCACAATCCGTTGGTGGGTGTCGGTCATCCCGCCCTGCCCCAAGGATTCCCTCCACTGCTGCAGCACATGGGCGACATGTCGCATGCGGCAGCCATGTACCAGCAGTTCTTCTTCGAGCAGGAGGCGCGCATGGCCAAGGAAGCCGCCGAGCAGCAGCAACAGCAGCAGCAGCAACAGCAACAACAGCAGCAGCAGCAACAGCAGCAGGAGCAACAGCGACGCTTCGAGCAGGAGCAACAAGAGCAGCAGCGCCGCAAGGAGGAGCAGCAACAGCAGATCCAGCGCCAGCAGCAGCACCTGCAACAGCTGCAGCAACAGCAGATGGAGCAGCAGCATGTGGCCACTGCCGCCCCCAGGCCGCAGATGCACCACCCAGCGCCCGCCCGTCTGCCCACACGAATGGGCGGGGCTGCGGCCCACACGGCGCTCAAGTCCGAGCTGTCTGAGAAGTTCCAAATGCTGCGCGCCAACAACAACAGCTCCATGATGCGCATGTCGGGGACGGACCTCGAAGGACTGGCCGATGTGCTCAAGTCCGAGATCACCACCTCGCTGTCCGCTCTGGTGGACACCATTGTGACCCGCTTCGTCCACCAACGGCGGCTGTTCAGCAAGCAGGCGGACTCCGTGACCGCGGCTGCCGAGCAGCTGAACAAGGACCTGCTGCTGGCTTCCCAGATCCTCGACCGGAAATCACCGCGCACCAAGGTGGCGGACAGGCCCCAGAACGGACCCACGCCCGCAACACAATCAGGTAATAATGGTTCACTACTCCTAGCTAATAGTCAAATGCCCTCCCAAACGCCCGCGAGCGGTTCGAGTGCGCAGCAACAACAGCAACAGAATGCCCAGCAGCAGCATCAGGCCTCGCAGCAGCAGCAGCAACAGAATGTGGTGCAGCAGCAGAATGTAGCACAGCAGCAGCACATGCAGCAGCAGCAACAACAGCAGCAATCGCATCCTTTGCTGCCGCCCAACTGCCAACAGTTGATCTCCGCCCCCCGCCTAAATGGCAGTCAGTTATCATTCGCTTCGCCCGCCGCTGCTGCAGCCGCTGCAATGGGTCTGCAGATGCACCATGCCGCCGCAGCAGCAGCAATGTCCGCCCAGCAGCAGCAGCAGCAACAGTCGGGGGATCCCGGCGCGAATACTAACCCAAACAACGGGCCAGCAAACCCCACTAACAATAGCTTAAGTACCCTTAATATACCGCCACCTCACATTCGTCCTTCGCCCACAGCGGCTGCCATGTTCCAGGCGCCAAAAACGCC